CATGTTTTTCTTTTCTTGGATTTTTTTTACCACCTCTCTCACCTCCATTTATAAAGAAGAAGACAACTTATCCTTATTGGTCAAGGAGATGTTGCTTATGTAGGCTTTGTCTAACCTTATCCTTGTAAACCCTAAGCCTTATCTAATAGGACTAAAGTTTATCTTTTGACCAAAAGATTTTATAGGCTTTTAAATTAAGTCTATTAGACTAAACTCTTTTAGTCTAATTAATTATTCATTAATTTGGACCAGCCAAATAAATTAGGTCAAGTATTTTAGTGGAGCCCATATTAGAAAATAATTTTTCAAATTACCCTCAAATCTAACTTAAGAAACTAATTTCCTTTTTAGGTAACTATATTCCAAATTTGGAACATATTTCCAAATTAAGAAAGTAATTTCTAAAATAGGAAATTAACTTTCCATTTTAGGAAACTAACTTTCCAAAATAAGAAACTTTTCATTTTAGAAAACGTTTTTCAAAATAGGAAACTTTCAAAACAAGAAACCTTTTCAAAATCTTTGCTTATCTTTTATTATGTGGATGTTTAAACTTATACATGTGGCTTAATAGACTCTTAGAAATATTGAAAATGTATCAAGAATAAAAAACTCCTCTCGTGAATAACTAGGTTTGAATGACCTCAATTTTTATTATGCTAGAACATGTATATATACATAAAGAGTCCTAAATATTAGGACTTGTTTCCTACTTTAAGGAGGAAATCTTGCCTAACCTATTCTAAATAGAAAATAAATATACAACTAATTACATTGATTTATAGCCTAATTCCTAGCCGATTAATAGCAAAGAATCCAACACTCCCCCTTAAGTTGGGTTGTAAATATTTATCATACCTAGCTTGCAACTAAGATCTTCAAAATGCATCCTTGGAAGTGCTTTAGTTAGGATATCGACTGTTTGTAGATTAGAAGGAATGTAAGTAGGCTTGATTTCTCCTCCTTCTATTTTTTGTCTAATAAAATGCCGATCTATTTCCATATGTTTGGTCTAATCATGATGAACTAGATTTTTAGCAATGCCGATGGCGGATTGACTATCACAAAGTAGTCGTAGTGATCCCTTAAAAGGTATCTTCAATTCGGCTAATACTCTTTTCACCCGCATTCCTTCACAAATACCATGAGCCATTGCTGAAATTCGCTTCGAAGACTACTCCTAGCTATCACGGCTTGCTCTTTACTCCTCCATGTTATCAAATTTCCCCAAACATAGGTACAATATCCGAAGTGGATCGTCTATTTGTGATTGAACCCGCCTAATCCGCATCGAATACAATTCCACTTCCCTACTTGAGTTCTTTTTGAATAATAGTCCCTTACCCGAAGTTATTTTCAAGTATCTTAAGACTCTATACACCGTTGTCATGTGTTCTTCGGTAGGGTGGTTCATGAACCGGCTAATAACACTTACCGAGAAAGCTATGTCCGGCCTAGTATGTGACGGATAGATCAACTTCCCTATGAGTCTTTGATATCTTCCTTTATCTATCGGATCACTATCCTTATCGGACCCAAGTTTGGCGGTGTAGTCCATAGGTGTCTCTGCAGGTTTACACCCAATCATACCGTTTCTTTTAGAAGATCTAGTACATACTTCCCTTGAGAGACCGCAATGCCTTGCTTAGACCTAGCCACTTCCATTCCCAAGAAGTATATGAGTTTACCTAGGTCCTTGATCTCAAATTCTCTATTAAAAAATTCTTTGACTCTTGAAATCTCCTTAGCATAATCCCCTATCAAAACAATATCATTAACATAGACAATCAACATAGAAATCGATCCTTCCAAAGAATGTTTTACAAACATTGTATGATCGAATTATCCCTACCCATTACTCTTCATTACTCCGGTAAATCTCTCAAACTAAGCTCCGGGTGATTGTTTGAGACCATAAAGTTACTTCTTTAGTCGACACACTTTATTGATGTTTGATGAGTTTTGTAGTCCTTGGGGAATGTCCATATAGACCTCTTCTTCTAGATCCCGATTTAAGAATGCATTCTTGACATCTAGTTGATATAGGAGCCAATCCAAATTAGCTACAAGAGAGAGGACTATTTGAATAGTGTTGAGTTTTGCTACCGAAGCAAAGGTTTTCTCATAATCTATGCCATAGGATTGAGTAAATCCTTTAGCTACTAATCGAGCTTTGTATTTTTCAATACTACCATCTGCTTTTTTTTTACATTGAAAATCCACTTGCATCCGATCACATTCTTTTCATGAGGCAAATCGGTAATCTCTCAAGTACTATTCTTCATTAAAGCATTAACTTTTTTATTGATCGCCTTCTTCTATTCCGGGATAGCCATGGCTTCATGGATTGAGTTTGGAATGGATATAAAATTGATTTTTTTGGTGAATACTTGGTAAGATGAAGATAGCCCACCATAGTTCACATAGTTTCCAATAGGGTACAATGGCTTATTTTTGCATTCTTTCACCCCTTTCCCGAGTGCAATAGGTAGATTCTCATCGAAATTCCTAAGATTACTTGAACTAGAACCTCGCAGAATTTTCCTCCATAATTTATAAATCGGATGTAGGGATATTTATCTCGGGTTCGGATGCTTGCGATAGTCTGTAAATCTGCTGAAGTCTTTGATTCCTTCAGACTTTCTCCTTTTTTTATGGTAGAAAATTATATTGGGAGATGTAGAATCAAGTAGTTGAGGTTCGGTTTCGGGTTGGACACTTGGAGATGGGGTAGAAGCACTTTCGAGTGGATAAGGTTTATTTGTAGTTTCGGATGTTTCTAGGGTGTAATCTATGCTCTTTAAGAAAAGCTGATATTCTTGTGGTTGACTTTGACTAGAGCTCTCCCCTAAATATTAGTTTTGATGTAATAGGGTTTTGATTCAAAAAATGTGGCATCTATGGTGTGATAGAACTTTTAGTTTTCGGGACGAAGCATTTGTAACCCTTTTGGTTAGGAGAGTACCCTACAAAGATACATTTAGTGGATCGAGAGTCAAGCTTGGTTCGATGTTGTTGATGGATATGAACAAACACAGGTACACCCAAATAGTTTTAGAGGAAGAGTGGAAATTAGACAACTTTGAGGAAAGTTTTGTAAAAATACTCGTATGTGGAGTGAAAAAATCTAGTACTTTTGATGGAAGTCGATTGATTAGGTATCTTCGTCGTAAGTACGGTCTCACCCCAAAAATGTTTTGGAACATTAGATGAAAACAACAGAGACTCGGCAATATCCGAAAGGTGTCTATTCTTTCTCTCGGCTATCCTATTTTGTTGAGGGGTATCTATATATGAACTTTGGTGTATGATCCCCTCGGTTGATAGATATAAGCCAAGATTAGAATTAAAAAACTCCCTTCCATTATCGGTTCTAAGTATTTGAATGATAGTTTGAAATTGATTTTTAATCATTGTGTTGAAATTCTTAAGTATTTGAGGGACATCTAATTTATTTTTTATGAGAAAAATCCATGTAAGTCGTGTGTGATCATCTATGAAAGAGATGAACCACCGAGCTCGTGTGACATTTAGAACTTGGGATGGGCCCCAAACATTACTATGGATAATAGAAAAAGGTTTTGATGCTTTGTATGGCTGAATAGGGTATGAACTACGAGTATGTTTTGGAAATTGACAAATTTCACACTAAAAAGAACTAGTGCTTTTATTTCGAATAAACTTGGAAAAAGCTTAGACAAATACATAAAGTTTGGGTGTCCTAACTCTGTAATGCCACACCATGATTGATCTCTCACTCTCGGTTTTCAACTCACTAACAAACAAACAAGAATCGGCTTTACTAGAAATAGGGTTACTCATTCCTAGGTGAGATTGTCTCATAGAATCCGATTGAACCTCAAGATGATAAAGCCCAACATGACTTCTAAGCATCGCCAATCATCCTCTTTGAAGTCACATCCCGAAATTCACAAACATGAGGAGAAAAATTAGCTAGACAATTAAGATCTTGGGGGTAATTTTATTTATGGAGAGTAGGTTACGATCTAGATTAGGAACATATAGAAAACATTTGAGTGTTATGTCCCTAGATACCACAACCAAGCCGAGTCCCTTCCACTTTTGCCAAAGAACCATCCGTAATTCTAACTGTGAGAGCATCATTATAGGGAGAATATGTGTGAAAAACTCGCATATCTCCCGTCATGTGATCAAAAGCACCGAGTCTACAATCCAAGGGTTATAGAGCTCTTGTTTGATAGTCAAAGCCTTAAGAAAATTACCTTTTTGAGCTATAGAACTCGACCTAATAATTAGTGGATTCTGTTGTGATTGCGGTAACCTTCTTAGTCCATCAAGTTATTCTCTACTAAGAGTTACAGACTTGCTCTAAATTCTTGGCCATGTTGCCTCAAACTTTATTCTATATTGTTGTTTTCGGCTTCCAATCGACTGGTTTTCCATGGAGTGTTTAGTAGGTTTCTTTGGTATGACGAGGGCGACGATAATGTTCACACCATGTCCTTCCCCTTCTACGTGGCTACTTGCTAATTTCGAGCCGCCAAGGCTGATGACTCACCACTAACAATTGATTTTTCTGTCCCCAACATCAAGTGACATCTGCTTTCTTCCCTTCGGACCTCGGGGAAGGCTTCACACATGCTTGGTAGTGGTTTTGTGCTAAATATCCTTCCTCTTACAGACATCAAGACTAGAATTCAATCCCAAGCAAAATTTGTAGACCCTTTTGTTCTCTATGATCTTTTTGTGTTGTTTGAGATCATTAGTAGTGTCCCAAGAATATTTCTTAAAAGCATCTAGCTTCGCCGGCTTTGTTAGAGTTTGTTGCAATACTCGATTACTGGATAAGTCGCCTTGTCGAAGATCGTGTAAGATGCTCTTAATTGCTACTAGTTTGGGGGTGTTGTCTTTGTCGAAAAAGTATTTTTTGCTACTTCCCGGACTTTTGCAGCAGTTTCATATAGGAGAAAATTTTCTCCTATACGTGGCTCTATGGAATTCACTAACCAAGACATAACCTAGCTATTATCTCTCTTACGGATCATGTACTTAGCATCTTTTTCATCTGGTTTAGTGATATTTTCGATTAGATAATCTTCTTTTTCCTTGATGCGGACATGAAACATAAAGGATTGAGACCATTGGATATAGTTTATGCCATTGAGTTTGTAGATGGTTATGGGTATGGTTGAGTAGTTTGTCATGTCTCCCCCATGGTTGTTGAACACAACGGTTTCAATATTGGAGGATTTTAGGGTTTCAATAGAGGATTCGTTGGTGCTTGTCATGTTTGGTCTTAGATGTTGCTACTTGGAATAAGATAAAAGATGGATTGGTTGATGAATACTGCTAGAATAAGTAGTGTAGAGATTGATGAATACTCGCTGGAATAAGTAGAGTAGAGGGTCGTGGGAAGAACATGAGGCATCTAGGGTTCCTCCGATACCATATGAATAATTAGGTTTGAATGACCTCAATTTTTATTATACTAGAACACGTATATATACACAAAGAGTCCTAAATATTAGGACTTGTTTCCTACTTTAAGGAGGAAATCTTGCCTAACCTATTCTAAATAGGAAAAAAATATACAGACTAATTACATTAATTTACGACCTAATTCCTAGCCGATTAATAGCAAAGAATCCCAACATCCTTTTTTATTTCTTGGTTCATAAATCAAAATTGGCCTCTAGTAAGGCATCATGACTACATAATTCTCTAGGAGGATTAATTAATCCATAATTACCTTTCATGAGCATGGTTACCATATAATTCGATCCTTATGTCAATTTATCACAATGTGATCTTGAACTTAGTTTATAATCTATTCGATTATGATCACATAAATTTTCTTTGATTCTTAGATATCTTAGCTCTAAATTAAACCAACTATGCTCTATTGGTATACTTCCAATATGGTTATAGATTCCTTAAGTAGACATTCATCGAAGTGCAATATGATAACTCATTTAGTGTATAAGGAATGACATGTCCTATCTTAGTCATTCACCTATCTTCATTAGATTCCTAATGCACCCAATAAATTACCCACATGGAGCTCTTTACCAAGCCCATCAAAATGAATGACAAAGTACACAAATCCTTTAATGAGAAAACTATGAAGTCAAAGAAACGAGTTGTATCCATCTTGTATAAAAGTTTTATAGGCTAAATCAAATGAGTTCTCTTGGTGAGTCACGTCTAGTAATATGTTCTCTAACATTAATCACCTAAGTAATTGATTTGGCATGACCATGCCAATAGGTATGAGATCTCTTACCATTATCTTATAGTAAGAGTATAGCACTTATAAGTCTTAACATATATAATCAATATCCATTCTTGACAATGTTATAACTTGAGACATTTAATGATATCATTTAAGTGCATTAATATTTGTATCACATCTTTTGATCAATCATTAATGCAATGTAAATCTTATGGACTTTTATTTAATTCTATCAAATTATAAATAATAATAATTAAATTTTTTTTATTAATATAGAAATACAATATTATAATACATTAAACCATCCAAATGGGTTGAATCTTAGGCACCTACACTAACATGGAGTCACTTGACCAATGGTAACCATATGCTTGAAAAGATCTCGAAGAGAGATAATAAAAGGTGATAGGATATCTCTAAATTTACCACATTCAATGTTCTTTTGATTGTTATGATTAAATGACAATCACTTATTATTGAATTGTCAAAATGCTAAAGGATTCTTACGAATGGCTTGTGATTGGTTTTACATGAAAAATGATTTTTGAGATGTCAAACTAGTGACACTTATAGGCATGGTGTTTTTTGAAGTGATAAACTAAGAAGCATGACTAGTGACATTATCTCATGGAAGAATTAACTATTGGCCTTTCAAGGGACTTCCCATTGGCCTCTAAGATAAAAAATATGTGTTTTAACTTAATGCACACATATTTATTTTCTTTTTTCTAAGCTACTCCTCTTAGAGCTTAACTCGGATGGCTCATCCACTCTACCAGACTTTAATAGCCACCTCAATTTGATGGTACATACTATTTTTACAAAGTTATTAGACCTATTATTAAATAGGTAATTATAGTAAGGTTTTTGAAAGTATTTATGAAGAATGTGACCAATGCTTTCTCCAATAGTAAGGGCAAAATTCTTGAAGCTATCTCTTACTAAAGAATGTGACCAACTCTTTCTCCAATAGTAAGGGCAAAATTCTTAAAGCTATCTCTTATCACATTTAAGCATATTCTTGCATTGATTCTTTAACACCTTCCTTTATAGATTATAGATTAGATCGATAAAAAATCACTTTATGGTTGAACTTATATTGTTTTATGAAAACTTTAACTAGTTTTCTCCACCTCTTAATCTTTATTTGGTCTAGATCGATAAGCTAAGTGAGTGATGAACCCTCTAGACTCTTTGAGAAGAAGTGAATAAGAAACTTTTCATCACCGACTACTTCAGTAATCTTATTTAAATAAACCCTTAGATGGGTCTCTAGGCACCGAATACTAGTATACTTTAGAAATTTTGTCAATCAAAACTTCTTTGAGATCACCACATTCAGCACAAGACATTTTTCTATTGCTATGAGAGAATCATATGCATTTATACTCTCTATAACTCAAAGTCATTACTCTCGGTAATGAACTTCTCAACCTCAAATTCGAAAGACATATTGTTTTTTTCCCATATCGTCGCAGTTAAATCAAGAGTGATGATTGCTTAAGCTTACAACATGTATGGCAATAAAAAAGTAGAAGTAGGAGCCTTTAAAAGAACAAGCTCTAGCTTGCCTCCAAGGATTGGTGCATTGATTGGTACATTGGTTAGATTGGTCGCAGTGGCATTTTCTTGATTAGGCATGAAGAATGGTGGCCATAGAGTCATAGTTTGGGGAGTGGGTAAGGGTACGGAGGATGGTAGTTTGGCGATAGTAGAGGATCGACCCGCCTTTTGAATGGGAGAAGGCTTCAAATGATATGTGATTATAGGCTTTCCTTAAGTAAGGCTATCGACTTAGCAACCTCCATCTTCAGCAAGTTTATCTATTTTTGGTGATTTTGCTCAAGTTGACTCTTTTTTTATTATCCATTTTTTTTCTCTTAGCCTTGTTTTGTAGATTCTTAGAGGAAGTGTGGTTTTAGTAGAAAAACCTATATTTCTAAACATATAAGAAAATAACAAAATACAACACATAAATAGTATATTTATATAAAATGAGACACTTGAGATTGGATATGGAGTAGTCATCGATAAGAGGGAGATAAAAGAGTTCCTTTTTATCTTTCATCAACAAGATTGCTTACGGAATCATATCGGTAACCTTTTTGATTAGTTTTCTAGAAAGTTACTCTCATCATGGATTGGCTTGAGTTATTGAACTCTTTTCTCTTTGCTTCATTTCAAAGTAGCCCTTAATCATTAGAGAAAGATCATAATATCTTTGTAGTTTTTTTTTCCTAACAATTTATTAACATGGAATTAGAGGATTTTTAGCTTTTATTTAATCAATGCATTCATTATATTTTAAAGCCATACATCACATCATTATCATTGCTCAATATTTATCCATTTTCGGAGAAAAATCCCGAAGTCATCTTTGATTGAAATTGCAAAATTCTTACATAATAATTTGATTTGCTTACATCAATTGGTCCTCACAAATTACAAATGAAAAGTACATAATGTCAATTCAAACAATGACTTTATTACACTGAATCCTCACACTCTAATGACTTTGTTGTTGAGCTATTTCTACCAATAGACACTCACATCGTCTTATTATGATGTAAAGGCTTTAGCTCTAAAATCACTCATTGTTGCTAATACATTGCTTTAAGTTACATAAAGCTTTTGCTTTCTTAGTCATTTTCACAATTTAAGCCTTTAATTTTTCTAGGGAAGTCGATGAGCTTCACTCATTTTGACCAAATGATATTTTGTACTCGCCGAGTACATGGATTGTCTTTAGTAGTCTTCTAACAACACCTTTTTCTCTCTCTCCAAATCAGTTATCATCTTCTCGGTGATAAGTTGCTCTTTGATTTCACCCAAGCCTCTTAAGTGTTCTTTGACCTCATTAAAGTCCTTGAACATTCCCTTAAGATTTCTTCCAAAACGTCATTTTCTTGTTAAAGCTCATCTCTTTCTTTTTAGCAAAAACCTAAATCATGCATAACTTTTTCATTTTTGCACACCAAATTATTAATATCAATAATCTTTTTTTATCAATTTAGCACAAGCTTGATAGCATGAATTTTTCTAAACCACATCCTCAAAGGCCATATCTTGCATATCCCTTTCTAATTTCAAAATTTTATCCTTAGTCGACTCTTTTTCCTTGTTTGACTCAGCTTGGTCATACAACAACTTTTATTTCTTGGTTCTAAGTTGCTCAAGTTCCTTTTTCATCATTTTATTTTCTAAAATAACCTCCTTTGACTCAATTTCTACTCTTTTTTTTTTTAGATGAAAATAATCTAGCTTCTAGTGAGACTTAGGGATTTTCAAAAGCATAAGGAATTGTAACTTCTTGACAAACTTGCAGTGTTAGATAATGAGGTTCCTCCAACTTGATCTTGGCTTGTTTGACATATAAAAAAATCACTATCGAGACTTACCATTGTGGATATGCTTTAGTTATGGCTACCTTTAAGCCATATATCTTTTCAATGGCCATTGCATCTATCCCGGAGGCGATGTCAATAGGGTCTAGTGAATGATGGGCTTTATAGGAAAGGATATGGAATTAAGAAAAGAGTCATTACCTAGCATCAAAAAATTTTGGAAGCCCTAAAATTACTATGAAAAAGTCTAGAAAATGGGTCAATTACGAGTGGAAAAGATCTTATAGGTATCAAATCTTATCCGAGGTAAAGTCGTATTGTTTGTATATGAAAACTAAAATCCGATCTTACTATGTTATGAACCTATATCCACTTGAGTGAATTAGTTTCATTAGGATAATTTGGGGTTTATGTAACACCCTTGACATAGGACCTAGATAGGCTAAGAGTATTACCGGTGTTGACATAAATTTGGAGTCCAATGAATACAAGCCACCAAGCCTCATTCCCGAACATTTTTAAATTACTAGCAAAATGTGAGTTTCTTCATAGAAGGTCCCTAATAACTAAAAAATAATAGGTCCAAAGTAATTAAAAACTTATGTATAAAGTTTTTCAAAAATTCCACTAACATCAATTAATATTCCTATACCATGTGTAGAATTATTAAATGTCATAATTTGGTCAAACACTCATTTTTTTTGAAATCCCATTTAACCATTTAAATAAA